TGGGATCACTAAGATGGCACGTCTGCCAGAAGTCACGTGTCCCAGATACGGTTGTAATGTCATACACCTGGCGAGAGGCTGCCCAAACAAGGGCTGGTGAGGGCAACCTGGAAGCCTAGGGGAGCATTCAAACCATGTCAAACCAAAGGAGAGAAGCCAGCCATCATTATAACATGTTTCAGGGACTTGCCCTTTCCTCACATCACGTTAGACATATTCCAACAGCTCACTCTGTTCTTCCTCCCACTATAACTCTAGAATACGGGGGGAAGCAATCAGAATGGCAGCCTGTGAGACACTGAGCAGGCCTGAAAAAAAAAACAACCCCTGCTCCACTGATTACAGAACAGCCAACTAAATTTACCTAACAACTTGCACTAATCTATGTGGGTGCTACACTAGCACTTTGCTCAGTATTTATTTCATTGAATGTCCAGTGTTTCAGGCTCCCTATGAGCTTTGGTAGATATCTAAAGGTGCATGCAGTCCCTTCTGATGACATTACTGGATCTTCCACCTTCAAAAGCAAGTCAGCAGCATCATCTCCCGTATTCCATTGTGGACTTGTTCCTTTTTTATACAGCAAAGTGATTCTATTACATGTCGTGCTTTGTGCTTGTCCAGTAAATACAACAACTTAGTCATACTTGCGTTATAGAATTAATTTGATATCAGTGCAATGTTAAAAAGAAGGTCATGTCAAAACTCTTTGTCTAATAGGAAAGGACAATTCCCTTTTACTGGAGCTGTGTGTCTGCTGCGTCCGGAGCTGTCGTCTCCGCACACTTACGGCTCTCCCTCTTTAAAATAACAGACTTTACTGAGAAGTCACATAACACCTTCCAATGGATTGTGAAGGTTTCATCATCATGATGCAAGTTCTATAGCTGCAAGGAAGTCCTGCCCTTGTATATTAGATATCCATTGACTATTATGGTAACTGGATACCAGCTGATAGCAATTTTTTGTTCTACAGAGGGGGGAGCCTTTTTGGTATAAATAGTATTACTGGCTGCTGTGTATAGAACTGGACCCTGTTGGCCTGAAACATGTCTTAGGTGAAGTCAGGGCTGGGAACGTTCAGAATTTCCCAATCCTCTTTAACATCAATTCCCTTAAATTAGAAATGATTTTCTTACTTGAAAACAAGGATTTATGTGTTACTTTCCACTCTCTAGATGCCATAGCATTCCGTGCCTTATTTTCGTAAGTGCTAGAGTAAGGGTCACAATGGAAATATGCATCTACATATCGTGATATATTGCAAAGGTTTTGTGATTTCATTTTTGCAGTGTATATACAGAATATGTCAGGATGACATTAGACATGGCTAACCATATCTAATGGACAATAAAGGGTATGCAAACCCTAACAATGAACTTCTCCTTAATCAGTCAGATGCTAAATTGTTGGAAATCTTGTCAGCCAATAACTTCCTTTGCTCCCTGTCTGTGCTGACTGTTATCAACTACATTGTTCTGTGAGGACTACAATGCTGTCATACTAAGACTGGAAGGGTGTTACTGACAAAATCACCTAGGTGAAAATGAAAGATAAAAATCATGAAAAAAGAAAACGAATGTAGCCACCACATCAAAGTGTCAGGTAAGCTGCAATATATTACTGTAGCACCGCTCTAGTTAGCCAAGGGGAGCTAGGTAGAGTTTTTGTAGTTAGAGGCTGGATAGCAGCCTAGAATGAATCAGCCTGACATTATATTTAGATTGTTGGGTTTTAATACAATTTACACCATAATTCCTACCAGTTTTACTTCCGATGTCAGTGTATTTTTTCTCAGTGCACGCATTATGCACAGAAAAAAATTTTAATTCTCAAAAAAGAAAGTGCCGTGAATAAGAGTTTTAGTGCTACCCAACAGGAGCAGCTGGATTGTTTAGTGATTTCTCTGCACACCTGAAGATGGCACACCTTGCTCACCCAGCACTTACTGACACACCTTAATGTATTTCAAAGAATGTATTAATTCAAGCATAGCCTAAAAAAAGAGAGGATTAGCAAGTGTATTTATAGAAACAATCAATAAACCAATAATCTTAATCTGAGAGATATGGTTTTATCTACCAACAGTATCTAACTTCCTATAACAGTCCCCATTTTATCCCACTGGCCAGCGAATGAAAAAAAATAAAAGTTGGGAGGGCTCTCCAGTCCCAGGGAGAAGGTTCCTGGTCTCTGAGGCAAGGTTCTGTGTGAGAAGCAATCTCTTTGCTACTCTCAGGTCTCACACGATTATGGTCAGTTATGGCAGGGTTCCATTTAGCCAGCAGCCCAGTCTTTTTCTGACACCCCTGCTAGCTATAAGACCATCCTTTCCTCTCAGCAACCTGCAGACACACTTCTCCTTGCTCTGTTGCATCTGCCATTCACTATCCTCCAGGATCGCTCCAGACACATCCAAGATGGCTGCCCCCTGCACTGGAGACACTCCATATTGAGCATTTCAAAGTGGTCTTCCTAAATACAGCTGTTGCACTTCTGAATTAATGAATATTCAGTTTAACCCTGTCCACACTGCAGAAGGATCATATAGCAGCTAGAAAGGAAGAAGTTCTGCAGCAATTATCAGCTACAGTCCAGATTACACAGTTAAATGAAAAACATTGTTTTTAGATTTTTGTCCATTTAGTATTTTTTACTTGGAAAAAAAAAGATAGCCCTATAATAAGTGCTGTTAGATTAAAAGTGGGCATTGGTCAAAAACATTTGGAATTACAGCAATAAAAAAATGGTCGCCATTCAATAGTCTTCATTAGACAACTCATGCAAAGCCCTACTTTTTTTATGTATGGTTGCCACAGGTTACTGCAAAATACAGCACTTTACACTGAATAAGCCCAAGAGTGTCTTTAAACAAATGCTAAAATCTATTAGTAAATGGTAGGAAATTATTCATACCACAAATATGGATAGGTTTTCACACATTTCTTGGTAGCTGTTCATGTGGGAGCTTTCTACAGGAAACGGGGGATTCATTGATTGCTAAATCAAGACTTTACTCGCTAATCAACAACGTACATTATCTCAGAAGATTACCACATATAGCTAGTGGTACATGATGATGTTAATAGCAAGTGTAATTACTGGCCTTTTCTCTGTTTAATGCTAAGTAAAGACAAATTCATGTGTCTGAATACAGTTCTCAACCCTGTATATTTTAAACCTCAGTGGGATTTTTGTTTCTTTTTTATAATTTATGGTTTTATCTTAATGGGTTTCCAGAGCTATCTCACTTCTGTTTCTTCTCATTGATCTCCCTGAGGTGAGTGGGTATGGATTTTAAGGGGGAACGCCATGCAAAAGTGGAGAGAAACAATTGTGGGGTCCCCACCTAAAATCCATACCAGACCCTTATCCGAGCAGGCCACAACATAGGGGAAAGGGGTACCTTGGCTACCCCCTGGCAAAGCACTTTGTCCCCATATTGATGAGGACAAAGGTTTCTCCGCCACAACCCTGGCGTGGTGGTTGCAGGTGGGGAAAATGTTTAAATCTGGTACATAACACAGAGTTTTTTGAAAAATCCTTTAAAAAAAAGAAAACCCCCAAAATGTCCCACAATGTATGTCTCCAGTCAATCACATCATCTAGCAACGTAGATCCATGTGAATTACAATTCTTGATGTTCGCTGACCTGAAAGAAAAAATTCTGCCCACCGATGCACATCTGGTCCCATCATTTCTGTCCCACTGAATGACAGGTCTGGTGGATGACAGCTGGTATATACATAAGGGCAGGGGCAGACTGACCATATGGAAACTCAGGCACTGCCTGAGGGTCCGGTGTCAGTAGGGGGCCCCATGAGATGCCCCTGGTACCTTTTTCATAGGCTTTTTTGAGTTTGGGCAAGGACACAGGGGCCCCATGATCCTTTATTGCCTGGGGGCCCCATGAGTTGTAAGTCCGCCCCTGCATAGGGGTAAGGTATCCCGGGTGATGTTGCTGATCAGATTTGGACATAACCAAATTTGGTCAATGGCGTGACTGAAGAATGGGACCATAGATGAGTCGGTGGGCAGATTCATTTTTTCTTTTGTTTAGACCAAAATTTCAGCTCATTACTGATCAGTAGGAAGGATAGTGCCTCCTCATTGGTGTCAATGAGAAGAATTATGCTTCATTGTTGGTGTCAGTGGGAGGGATTATATCCCATTGTTGGTGTCAGAGGGAGGAATTATGCCTCATTGTTGGTGTCAGTGAGAAGAATTATGTCTCCTTGTTGGTGTCAGTGGGAAGGAATATGCCCTATTGTTAATGTGAGGGGGAGGATTTATGCCTCATGGTTGGTGTCAGTGAGAGGAATTATGTCTCCTTGTTGGTGTCAGTGGGAAGGAATATGCCCTAATGTTAATGTGAGGGGGAGGATTTATGCCTCAGGGTTGGTGTCAGTGAGAGGAATTATGCTACATCCTTTGTGTCAGCAAAAGGAATAGTTTATCATTGTTGGTGTATTGGGAGAAATAATGCCCCACAGATAAAGGAAAACAAAGAAACCACATCCAGCCTATGGGCCGCAGTTTGGGGACCACCACACTAGAACCTTCCCCCTGCAAGTATTGAGGGAATGCAAGCCTCATGAATAAGTTCCCACCATGACTACTTGGGGAAGCCTGCTGGAGCGCAGTACATTTGACAACATTTGGAAGGGATATAAATGTATTTACGGTAGTTCTGTATTCTTAAAGTTGAATTCCACTCAGAAAAAAAAAGCTTCTAAGACTTACTTTTACTTTCCTTAATCCACAGTCACAAAACTGCCAGCATTCCATTTGATCTTCACTGCTGCAGAGTAGGAGGACACTTCTGGCAGCACAACTGTCCCATCCTGATTTTGTGGACACCTCCATTTGCTTTCCAAGAAATCATTAAGCTAGGATCAGGGGTGTCTGCAGCTTAAGAACATTTAGGAGACCAGTGAGACCCCCCCTGTCTGCAGCATGTCTCCCCCCACCTTTATCCACAGGTCTAAATACGAATGGTTGCCTTATGTGTAGGCATGAACTGGTCAGTACCAGGGGCGGACTGACCATTTGGAAACTCGGGCACTGCCCAAGGGCCCGGGGTCAGTAGGGGGCCCCATGAGATGCCCCTGGTACCTTTTGCATAGGCTTTTTAGAGTTTGGGCAAGGACACAGGGGCCTCATGATCCCCTATTGCCCGGGGGCCCCTATGAGTTGTCAGCCTGCCCCTGGTCAGTACTAATGCTTGAGCAGGGCCATCTTTACCTTGGGGCAAAAGGGGCAGCTCCCTCAGGCCCAGTGATTGTTGTGGGGCTCAAAGCAGCTTTTTTTGTTTGGCGGCGTGCTTGGTCGTAGCAGCTTGTATGGCTACTCGCACTGATGTATGTGATGGTATGCTGTGAGTGCCTAAGCCAACTGCTCCCCTCCACAGCTCAGAGTTCCAGTGAGTGCCAGGGGGGAGCAGAGCAAAGAGCCTAAGCCTGAAAGTGCCCAGCTCTCAGCTTACAGAATGCTGAGAACTGAGCAATCAGCTGTCTTTGATCACTCAGTGCAGAGCTGACCAGGGACAGATGCAGCATCCACCTAGGTCAGTATAATTTATTTTTCTAAATCCCAAACTTCTCTTTTAGATCTGTAAAGAATACTTGGGGATCCTACCAAGGAGGTCCTTGTTTAGACACTTCCAGTTATATGGTGGCAACTGTATCCCAGCTGCTAAATTGTTAAAGCTCAACTCCATTTTTAAAAAAATTGTGGCATACGTTAAACATTTTGCTGCAAAATCACGGGATTACTTAAGGTGATGTTGCTTTATAGTTTATACAAGACTTGCTTTCTGGTGCAATCATCAACTGTTATCTGCTGCAAAACCATAGGTACATTTTAAGGTGGCGTTGCTTTATATCTTTATTATGGTATAAGACTAGCTTCCTGGTGTAATCATCAACTGTTATCTTTCATCTACAGCGATTACAATATACTGAACTTCTTTGCATGCAGTTCTCTTCCATGGAAGAACATCTAAGGCTCTTGCACTTTCATATAATTCAACCATGTACAGAAAAAACAAAGAAAATATCAGAAGAAAAGATTCTTTTTAATAAATATTCTAGTAATAAACAATCATGTTAACCCATTCATGATGGGGAAAGAAAACAAATCCTGATGGCTGAACATAGTTTTGCAACTTTGACGTGTTATTGAAATGTACATATCATCACAACTACTTGTATCCAGGTGTATCCAGGTGAATTATACCTTGTTTTTTTTTTCCAGGACAAATTGGGCTTTCATTTGGTGGTAAAATAAATTAGTATATTTTTAGTAAAACTGGCACAAAATAGTAAAAAGTATATAATGTAGCTGTATATTTCTTGCTATGACCATAACCTACTAACCAAAATAAATTCTTGTGCTCCTAATGAATGCAGCAATACCACATATGTATGTTATTTGTTGTTTGTACCTATAGTAGGGCCCAGAAACAATAGATGCTTTTTTACCATGCCTAAAACACACTGACAGTGATGCTAAATTAAAAAAATGTTTTTTAATCCTACCTAAAATACAATGACTCTGACCTTTCACTTTGGCAATGACCATTGGCACTAACCTAGGCCCTAACCATGACCCTTACCTAGACCTAACCCTGAACTAACTATTTTGGTTTAATTTTGCCTTTCCTTTTTTTCACTAAAGCTTCTTTGTTTACACTTTTGTCCTCTATCAAGGAGAAAATGACACACTGGGGTTTATTTACTAAAGCTGGAGAGTCCAAAATCAGACTCCCTTCTGCATAGAAACCAATCAGTTTCCAGGTTTCATTGCCAAAGCTTCATTGAACAAGCTGAGGTTAGAAGCTGATTGGTTTCTATGCAGAAGGGAGTCTGATTTTGGACTCTCCAGCTTTAGTAAATAAACCCCACTGTATCCATTTATCCAAGCAAGAGGAGAAGCACAGCACAAGGGTGGTCTGAACAGTGATTGATCACTGTGATAGCCAATCAGAAGCTATCACAGCTATCAGGTGATTGGGAACTCCCAGGTCCCAATCAATAGTAGGAGACCTGGTCTCGGTGAGAGCGCAGTCTCTGTGCTGGAAGCACGCAGTGCGATGTGCTCCCAGCCAGGGGCGGACTGACAACTCATGGGGCCCCCGGGCAATAGGGGATCATGGGGCCCCTGTGTCCTGCCCAAACTCAAAAAAACCTATGAAAAAGGTACCAGGGGCATCTTATGGGGTCCCCTACTGACCCTGGGCCCTCGGGCAGTGCCCGAGTTTCCAAATGGTCAGTCCGCCCCTGCTCCCGGCACAAACACAGGTACACATATATGCGACCCCACAGGATTAAAGTGTTACTAAACCCACAACAATAAAATCAGTCTGTATATGCAGTAAAGCATGCTTGTTTTATACTCACTGTGGAACCTGAGGGGTTAATCCCCCGCATTGTATAAAAATGCTGTTTGATCCTGACTTCTCTGATCGCCCCCCTCTTCCAGTGTCTCCCTCTTATCTTCTGAGAAGACATATTGTGTGGAGATACTCTGCATATGCTCAATTTGGTGTGTATTGCTAGAGAGGGCCAATCAGCACTGTCCAGACAGAGGTGGTCAGGGGTTTTGCATCCTCCTAGAGCAGAAAGAAAACTCCTCCTACAAGCTTTAACCAGTGCTCTGCTGGACACTGATAGAAGTCACAAGACTGCTCTAACTGCTGATAATTGGTATTTATCAGTTTATATTTGCTAAAATAATTGTATTTCCATGTTGTGTGTACTGTGGGCAGGGCTGTCTTTAACATAAGGCAAAAGTGGCAGCTGTCCTGGGCCCTGTCATTGTTGTGGTACCCAAAGCAGCTGCCATCTGGAGCAGGGATGGGTGGGGGCAGGGGCGGACTGACAACTCATGGGGCCCCCGGGCAATAGGGGATCATGGGCCCCCCTGTGTCCTTGCCCAAACTCAAAAAAGCCTATGAAAAAGGTACCAGGGGCATCTCATGGGGCCCCCTACTGACCCCAGGCCCTCGGGCAGTGCCCGAGTTGGTCAGTCCGCCCCTGGGTGGGGGTACAATTCCGGTACCATGCTACAAAGAGTGCATGTGGTATGTCAGGCCGACAAGGTGGAGGACAGCCCAATCCTCTGCTCTGTCTGTCCTGCTTCGGACTTCGCCTAGTCCCTTCCTCCTGGTTTGTTGCAGCTTCTACCTTGGCCTGCGGGTGGAGAAGGTGGTAGAACTGCTGAAGAACAGAGCTCCGACTGAGAGCTTTTCCAACCATGTGGAGGCAGGTCTGAAGAGCTCTGTGGTATGGGGGGGGGGGGGGGGGGGCAGCAAGGTAAGAACTGTGGCAAGTTCCTTATCTTACTGCAAGTGCTTTGTCTCCCCTCTCCCAGCCCTGCAAAGTATTTCTGCTCTCATGTGATGTTCTGCAGAGCTGGGAGAAGGGAGGCTGGGGTTGGAGGATGGAGACAGGCGTGATGCTCTGCAGGACTAGAGACAGGTGTGATGCTCTGCAGGACTAGAGACAGGTGTGATGTTCTGCAGGGGTGAAGACAGGTGTAATGTTCTGCAGCGTTGGGAGAGGGAAGAAAGGTGTGATGCTCTGCAGGGCTGAGAGAGGGGAGACAGGTGTGATGTTCTGCAGGGCTGGAGACAGGTGAAATGTTCTGCAGGGCAGGAAGAGGGGAGACAGGTGTGCTGTTCTGCAGGGAGAGGGGAGACAGGTGTGATGTTCTGCAGGGAGACAGGTGTGATGTTCTGCAGGGCTGGGAGAAGGGAGACAAGTATGATGTTCTGCAGGACAGCTAGAGGGGAGACAGGTGTGATGTTCTGCAGGGCTGGAGAAAGGTGTAGTGTTCTGCGGGGGTGAAGACAGGTGTGATGTTCTGTAGGGCTGAAGACAGGTTTGATGTTCTGCAGGGGTGAAGACAGGTGTAATGTTCTGCAGGGCAGGAAGAGGGGAGACAGGTGTAATGTTCTGCAGGGAGAGGGGAGACAGGTGTAATGTTCTGCAGGGAGAGGGAAGACAGGTGTGATGTTCTCCGTGGCAGGAAGAGAGGAGACAGGTGTGATATTCTGCAGGAGAGGGGAGACAGGTGTAATGTTCTGCAGAGCTGGAGACAGGTGTAACGTTCTGTAGGAGTGAAGACAAGTGTGATGTTCTACAGGGCTGACAACAGGTGTGATGTTGTGCAGGGCTGATGACAGGTGTGATGTTCTGCAGGGGTGAAGACAGGTGTGATGTTCTGCAGGGCTGACATGTGAGATGTCACCTTTTCATTCTCAATTAACTACCATGGTGCTGTTGAGCGCCCTGATAGTTTATTGAAGCTTCCTGTCTGCCTGCCCATACATCGTACAGCATACACTAATAGTCTGAAGGAGACCTGCATGACAACAGGCAATCAGATGGCGCAATGCTTTCCGGGTTCCTAAAACAAAAATAGTAAATAAGGTTTTTTATCTGCAAAAAAATGTGTATTTATTACTTTTTGTTAAAAATGTTCTGTCGATCATAAAATCAAAAATTGTTCATATGTAGAGTTGGGCTTGATGTTCAAGTCAAACATAAGTCTGCCCTGGCAGTGCATTGTGATTGGCCAAAGTAATGCACCTGACCACAGGTCAGGTGCAATGCTTTGGCCAATTGTAGCACATGATGATTTCACAAGGGGGTGGGGCCCAGTGCTTTATCTCACAACATAATCTCCTTAAAAACTCAAACTTTTACAGATCTAGTATCAAAATAGGTTCCCACCTAACAAAACAAATTAAACATAGAATACCTAAAAGCAGGATAACATGGTAGAAGCACGAGACAACAGACTCATCAACCCTGCACACATCGCTAATAGATTTGAGGAATATTATTCAGAACGCTATAACTTGAACAGTATTCACTTCATCCCATCCCCCTCCTCAAGATGTCATTCACTCATTTCTCTCTTCACTTAAGCTTCCCAAGGTTTCCCCTCCATAACTTTCAGAAATATCTTTTCAGTTCTTTGCTCAAGACATACAACAAGCTATTAGCAAATGACCTATGCACAAAGCTCCTGGTCCAGATGGCTTCTGCAATAAATATTCTAAAGCTTTTGGTTTGATGCTAACCCCTCACCTTCACGTTTTATGATAGTGCCGCAAATTTGGCTACGTTCCCGAAAGAGGCTCGTGATGCCCTAATAACTACTCTACCAAAATCTGAGAAATTTTCATCTCATCTGACAAACT